TCCGATATTTACACGGGTCCTACTTCTTGCCTTATCATTCCGCAGAATTCAGTCAGCCAGCGTACATTGAACAACAAAACTCCTGTTTCAGCGATGACTCATCTGAACGCCTCTGATTGGCCGCTGCGTTCTTAAACTCAACAGACTGTGATTGGTTATAATGCGCAACACTGTAAAAACACGTAAAAAGGATCATGATGCAACATTGAGTAGATCTAAATTTAATGCTGCAGTCAACAGTTTTCATTTCATTGTCATTTTATTCGCGACAGCCGTAATGAACTTAGTTTAAATCTGCAGCGGCATTTTTGTCCACGTGTGTTGCCATAGTTTCTACAAGCGGAAACTGATAGCACAGATATTACGTCATTTAGCCCTATTCGGATGGTAATTGTTTCTCATGGGGACGTCTGTAAAAAATAAATCTCCATAGCTCCTCAGTGATTAAACACATGCTTTCGGATGAAGATAAATTTGCGGTGGACGTCTGAGTTTGTAATCCTACGAACCTGGAACTGCGTGTCTTTCGTAGTCAGTCACATGATCATTGACGTGCTCAGTCAGATGTTCAACATGGCGACAAGGAAGCAACACTGGACGCGCGAAGAAACACTAACTTTAATGTCAATGTGGGAGATCCAAAATTTCAAAAACAATTCGACAAAACTATTCATAATCATAAAGTGTGGGAGGCGGTGTGGCGAGAAGCTTTCTAGCTTTCTAACTTTTTAGTACTGAGGTGTCCATTTTTAATGCACGAGATGCCACTTTTCTGATACAAATTACCGCGAAGTGCAACCATACGGTGCATTTCAGTGGTCAAAAAGGATTTAAAAAAATTTTAATAACGACTTTTGGATTGATCTCCTTTTAGAACCTCAGAGATGTGGATTCGGACGGCAATTAAATCACCACATGACCTTGGTGTTTGTCAAAAAACAGTAGGTAATTCAGCTGGGGATTTTTACGCGGGTGGTGAGAGAAAAACACCGACATCTTGGATTCGGACGGCATTAAAATCAACAACTACCCCCCGTAAATGGTTAAAATCCCTTATGTCCCCCTGAGAAACAATTACCGTCCAAATAGGGCTATTGATATGTGACAAGGTGGCCTAATGTTTAGAGAGTCTGACTTGAGTCTCAGGTCCAGCAGGAATTGTCGGTGGGGGGAGTGAATGTACTGTACAGTGCTCTCTTCCACCCTCAATAGAGAGACCCTTGAGCACCGAACCCACCAACTGCTCCCCGGGCACTGCAGCAATATGGCTGCCCACTGCTCCGGATGTGTGTTCACGGTGTGTGTGCACTTGGATATATTAAATGCAGAGCACGTCACTTCACAATTCACAATGACAAGGGACGAGCCATTATTTAAAATTGAAATTTCTCTGGATTTGCAAATCCTTGGGAACTTTTGGGATAATGCAAGTACACAACTGCATGATTTTTGGATATTCTATTACAAAAAATCGTACATATTGTGCCTTTAAACGGTCAATGATACTATTGTATGTGTGTTTCAGGGTTATTTTAGTTAACTAAAACTGAAACTAAAGCATAAAACCATTTTCATTACTCGAACTCTGCTAGCACCTGTAGACACGATTAGACGGTAGAGATTTTGGACTATCGTCTCGTGCAGTTACACGCTCATGTGATGTTGCTGTGCTGTGTGGTCACGAAAACTTATCGTTTGCATGTGCTTTTAAGCATTGCGGTTTAAAAACAAGTGATTTTAAGCCGATGAAATGCAGTCAGCAGCGAAAGAGAACTCATTTCTTTATATGCGTGCATGTGAAGACAGTGCTCATAGAGCACGGGAGTATTGAACGGAGTTATTTTTGTTGCTTTGTAGGCCTTGAACGGTTAAATACACACACTACTATGTGTTTGCTGAGAAAGAAAACACATGTGTAACAGTATATTGGATCCAGGCAGCTCTTAAAGTGACAGCAGTCTAATATTCGACAGTACCTGTAAGTGCCACCTGCCAGATGCTCATAATGTTGGCAGGGATGAAATGATGGCCTTATCATATTGCTGTCTGTAAAATCATATATGCAAATATTCCTGCAGTTCGTGCTCTACATATGGGATGCTCAGTTTCGCAATTCATTGAGTCATATTTCTTTACCAATCCTGAAGCAGAGTTTCAGAATATTAAAATACCGTCATCACCGATTGGTGCATGTTGAGCTCTTGCAGCATATTCAAACGTCAAACTGTGTATCTGACTTAGGGGGCCCTATGAAATAATTTTTTCCCCCCAAATTCATTGTTTTTTTTTTATTGTCCTGGATTCTGTTTTAATTATTAAATTAAAACTGTATTTACAAAAAGCCAAATAACTGAAATCATGAAACTTACATAAAATATTATATTAATTAAAAATAAATAAATTTTAGGCCCCAATAAAACCAATTTTATTTTTTTCCAAATTCCTTTTCATTTTTCCCAAATTTTGTGTTTTCCATTTTAATGGTTTAAATAAATGTAAATACTCAAAAAGCATGTCTAATCAACTGAATTAATACAACGTTAACAATTTAAAAAATGTATTACAATTTATGAAATAAATCGCACCATGAAATGTTTTCTTTTTAGAATTAGTGTTTTTTCTGGAATTATGATTTAATACAAATGTATTATAAAAAATGGTGGTAATCAAATGAAGACATAAAACATTAACAGTTTAACAGATTTTTTTTTTTTAAATGGTCAAATAAAAATGTAACAGTTCCATTAATTTTTGGACAAACAATGCTGCACAACAGAGGGCACAGTTAAAATTAAAACATGCAAGAAAAATTGTGAGATTTCTTAGTTTAATAATTATAGTTTTATTGATTATTATTATTACTGAAGTACTTTCTACTGTACAAGAGTAATATATTTATGTCACAATCTCTTTAAGTTAAACCAAAATGTTCTTTATTGTAAATTCAATTTGTTATGACTGGATTCCGTGTTTCTGTCAGTGTTTTCCACATCGCAGAAATCATTTGGCCCTATATTTGACGCAAAATGTACTGATAAATTTGCCTACCATCTCATTGTAATCACAGGTAATATGAGTGCATCATCTCTGAATATACAGAACTGTAACCAATTAGGTTTCATGTGTAAATAATGTGCACATTTAAAAATGTTATTTTTACTGTGTTTAAAAAAATGCTTCACAGCTCCTTTATATTAAGCTTCCCTCCCTCATCATCACAGGTCAGGTGTCAGATCTGAAGGGACACTTTGTAACTCAGGTAGCCATGGGAAAAGCTCACACCTGTGTCCTGACCAAGAGCGGGGAGGTGTGGACATTTGGAGTGAACAACAAGGGCCAGTGTGGCCGAGACACTGGAGCCATGAGCCAGGCAGGGAAAGGTGAGAACCTTTTAATGCTTTTCACACCAAACGTGAAAATGATACGTTAGCAAAGGCCCTGAATATTCCTGACCATCTTCAGAAAATTACACCAAATAGAATGATAGCTAGGTCATTTTTCCTGATCTTATATGGAGCTTCTTCACACAAACATGAGGGGGGAAAAAAGGTTATTATTTCTACTGCTGACATTAGACAGTGTAATGCCTAATTTATGTATTTATTTTTAGTTCTGATGTGTTGCGCTAAGTTGTTCTGATCACAGTGAAATCTCCACATAGATTCAGAAAATATACACTTTAAACAAGTATTTAAATATCTAAAACATTTATTATTTACAATTTTATTATGCTCAATTTTTTTTATTTGATATATTTTTAATTATTGTACAAAATATTAGATTAGATTAGATTGCAGAATTTATGTATGTGTTTTTTAATAAATTTAAATGAAACTGTGTGATGTCATACAGGCTTTACATCAGCCATCGGCCACCCTGCTTTAAGATACTGGCTTCAGTCATCAAAACAATTCCATATTAGTCGACCATTACTCCAAATTTATTGTTAATGGAAATATATTGGTATAAAAACTACATTTACATGACTTATTTTAGTAAAGTTATAATATTGTTACAACAGTGTTATATATTTGGTTAGACACAAAATAAGATTTACATTAGGTATTTAAATAAACTTTACTACAGAAAAAATGGCACTCCCATCCACGTGCACTTGCGTCTTATACATAGACATGAAAATATTCCTCAGTCGACTCTCTCATGCTGTGATTATTCACAGGCGGTGGGGTCAGCTGTGTTTGAAAGGGTGTTTGTGATTTGATGTTTTCCTGCCGTAGCATTTGGAGTAGAGAACATGGCCACCGCGATGGACGAGGACTTGGAGGATGAGCTGGATGAGAAGGAGGAGAAATCTATGATGTGTCAGCCAGGCATGCACAAGTGGAAGCTGGACCAGTGTATGGTGTGCACCGTGTGTGGAGACTGCACCGGGTATGGAGCCAGCTGTGTGAGCAGTGGCAGACCAGACAGAGTGCCAGGAGGGTGAGAGAAACCAAACCACACACACACACACACACACACACACACACACACACACACAGAGTGATGACTACAGACCGCACCAGACATGTTTACACAGATCATCACGATTATCCAGCTACTGGCAACATTCAGAATAAGAGATTTGTGTCAAAACAGTATTTATTTTTTTGCTAAGTAGGCTACAAGGGACATGACTAAAAATATTAGTTAATAAAATTACATCTAAAAAAGAATCACTTTTCAAATGAACAAATAAATAAAATCTAATTTAAAGGGGTCATATGATGCTATTTTAAAGATCATTATTTTGTGTATTTGGTGTAACAGAATATGTTGACATGCTTTAATGTTCAAAAAACGCATTATTTTTCAAATACTGTACATTATTGTAGGTCCTCTATGCCCCGCCTCTCTCAAACGCTTCGTTTTCTACAAAGCCCCCTCCTTTGACAAGCGCAGTCCGCTCTGATTGGCCAGCTGACCCAGTGCACTGTGATTGGCCGAACACCGCAAGCACGCGTCGGAAATGTAACGTCTTAACTTTTATAAAGAATATCTCTTTGGATTTGAGACTTTAGTCTTTGCAACTTTACAGATCTTCTTTATGCACCAAGAGCTTGTAACACTCCAAAGAGAAAGGAAAACTCATTTTCTGCTTTTTCAGTCATGAAGGTTTGAGAATGTAAATAAATGGCAAGCGATGTAGCACATGTATGTTGAGCTTTAGGGCCAATCTCGGTGACATTTTTGAGTCTGCATATGTCAGTTCCAAATATTAACCAAAATTTTAACTTGGGTAAAAGTATTTCAACTTGAAATAATTCACTTGAATACATGTCAAAGTACTGAAAGATAATGTGACTCGAGTGCAAGTAAGTAAAAAGAAGTAAACTACCAGGTGTTCATTGAATTGAAAAGGCATTAGCTCATTATTTAAAGTAAATAGTTCACCCAAAAATGGAAATTTTCTTAAATGTACTCACCCCCAGGCAATCCGAGATGTAAATGAGTTCATTTCTTCATCGGAACAGATTAGGAGAAATTTAGCACTTCATTACTTGCTTACCAGTGGATCCTCTGCAGTGAATGGGTGCCGACAAACATCTTAATGATGGATTTGTTTATTATAAACGTGTAGCTTTTCGCTTTCAAGACATTAATTGATGGACTTATTGATGGACTTGGATTATTACTCATTCTGACGGCACGCATTCACTGCAGAAGATCCATTGTTGAGCGAGTGATGTAATGCTAAATTTCTCCAAATCGGTTTTAATGTAGAAACAAACTACTATTCCTTTAAACCCTAAAAAGACACTGTGCTTCACTTCTTAAAAACCCTGTTTAGACTGATGAGAGGCTGATTTTCAAAAAACAGATCTACCAAATTGTGTAAATAAAAACTGAGGTGGCACAACCATATTTAACTTTTAGACAATTTAGTTTCTTGCAAATTTCGCTAAATGTTATGTTTCATTGCATAGGTTTAGAACATTTATTTAGGGATGTTATGTCTTTTTTGTGAACATACCACAATTTAATTATACTAAAAATGATCCTTCTACTTAATTATAAAAAGTAGAAAAATATTTAAAAAATTTACTTTTTATTGTAATGGGAGTTGTTGTAATTTGTTACTTTCTACCTCTGATATTTATTATTCTGTATATCGATTAAAAGAGGTGATACTGCAGTTCATTGCATCAGTGATAGCCCTTATCGGTTTATTTGTGTCTGTCCTCTGCAGGATTTGTGGCTGCGGCTCTGGTGAGTCGGGCTGTTCGTCATGTGGCTGCTGTAAGGCTTGTGCCAGAGAGCTGGATGGTCAGGAGGCCAGACAGAGAGGAATCTTTGATGCTGTGAAGGAAATGATACCGCTGGACCTGCTGTTAGGTACTGTGGTGTCATCCAATCACATTCAGTACAGTTTCATAGCCATCAAATCACATCCCTTTCCTGTCTGCGGGCCACGTTCATGTCATATGTTCAGCCATACGGTCTGCATGCATGAAATATTCAGCTCAGGGAAGGACAGAACGAAAATCCAACAATTGCAATATTCATAAAATATATAGAAAATAAGTAAAATGTAATTTAATAACCATGAGGAAAAATAATAGTTTATAATAATAATAATTTTATTAATTCATTAATTAATTCATTTATTTATATGCCAAGAGGAAAGGAAAAATCAGTTTTGCACATTGGCTATTGAACACTTATAAAAAATATGCATTGCAGCATTCATAAAAACTAACTTGGCCGATTTCTACCATCATGTGGTGTACAGTTATACTGCCCAGTCCTAATGCAGATCATCGGTCACTGGCTGCTTTGGCAGTGTTGTCTCTGTATAATGGCCTTGTGAAGCAGCACTGTGTTTGTGTTTTGTTGGGATCATCTCTCTGCTCTTGTCTCTCACTGTCTTGCATTGCGTCTCATGCTCATCATTCACCCGCCTGTGTTGTTTCTCATTTGTCTCCTCCTTTGGCCCCGCCTGTGCTGGACCTCTGTTATTTTAGCTGTGCCTGTCCCTCCTCCCCCAGGCGTCAATATAGAGGAGCACACCCAGATTCGACAGGAGGAGAAGAGACAGCGCATCAACCGCCGGCACCGGCTGGAAGAGGGCCGAGGTATGACGTCTACATGACCAGATCCCACAATAAACCCAGACACTCCACACGTGTGATGCACAAACATGCTACTGCATTATGATGCAGTTTTTTTTAATCTTCATAGTATTTTACTATGTAAAGCCAGAGCTGGGTTGATGTATCAAAAGTTTATTTTTGCAACTGATATACACTACTGTTTTAAAGTTTGGGGTCAATATTTGAAAGACATCTCTTATGCTCACTGAGGCTGCATTTATTTAATCAAAAATGCAGTAAAAACAGTAATATTGTGAAATATTATTGCAGCTTAAAATAACTGTTCTGTAGTTAAATATATATGAAAATGTAATTTATTCCTTTGATGCAAAGCTGAATTTCAGCATCATTACTCCAGTCAGTAGTGTCACATGATCCTTCAGAAATCATACTAATGTGCTGATTTGTGGAAAACTGTGATACACTACAAAGGTTGTTTGGGTTAAGCGAGAT